TGCTGTTTAATCACTTATTCCAAGTTTTTCAGTAATTTATCCCTCATGCCATAATCCTCTTATGCTATCACTTCTTTAGTTTATTGGATTACACTAGACATATTTCTAGCTTTTTTGTAACATCTTGAGGAGAAATTTTCAGGAGGTGAGACTTACTAGTATTGTTCATGAATGTGCTTAAGGAGAATTTTTTTAAGTAGACCTTTCATAAAAGTATTTACCAATTTTGATCTAGTTCCAGTCATGTTAGTTTTGTGTGTTGAAATTAGGTTGATTTTTAAAAAAAAAAGTTTACAAGCTCTATGGGATTGGCAATCTTGTAGATTTTATTTCTTATACAAAACTCTACAGGATTGACAATCTGTTACAGTTGTACTCTACCATAAACTGCAACTTCGTAACTTTTCACATCACCACCTATCATATATACATTATACTCTACCACAAACTACAACTTCATAGCTTTTCACATCACCACCTATCATATATACATCATATTCGCACTTAAACAAAGATCAAAACCTATTATATCATACAAAGCATACACAATAAAAGAATATAATTAAAAAATCATAAAATCAATATGTCCCTTATATCAATCCAACCACAAACTAGAAGCACACGATCCAAATATGATACATAATTCAAATCTCATATTATAACCTACATAATCCAAATGTGAAGAAAGTCACATATATCCAAGCATGTCTTCCCTCCTTCCTCTCACTCCTTATCCTTTCCCCATCTTGAGGCCATCCCCAAGGTTTAGCTCGAGCCTTGATGATCTCACTATCTATCTGTGTATGTAGCTATGTAAGTAGCTATATAAGTGGTGGTTGTGCATGTGATCGTCCTCTACTGATTGAGCATGGTGAGAAGTGCCAACTCCATCATCAAGTGCATAGTGAGAAATGTCAGTTCTATCATAAAGTAGGGTAGAATATCTCAGTCTATGCCTTCATCACTCATACGCTTCCTTCATGTGTTGATGTGATTTGTCCTCATGGCCTTCATGATCGTCGACATACTTCCTATAGAAGACAACAACAATCATCCGTCTGATCTCATCAACACCCATAATAATTTTGGATCATTAATATCAGCAATACTCTCATTTATATGCTCTTAGATCTTATCAAATGCTAAAATTTGCATTTTGGACAAAAGATAGACAGCTTATCAATGGTATGATTCCAAAAAATAATTTTTAATCGACTTTAAAAACTTGCATAATCTCTCTCAATCATTGCCTTGGGCATGTAGCTACCGGTGGTGGGCGTGGTATGAGTTTAGCTCCTGGGTGAGGGTCAAGTAATATCCATCTGCATGTGATATCCCTATACCAACACATACTCGCTCTTTACGTTATCAAAGGATTTCTCTAATGTTGTGTAGAATGTTTCCTATCATTTCAATTGTTTATGTATGCTTCATGCTCTCTTCTCTAATCTATACGATGTGATCCCTGCTTCACACACACTTTACTATTGGAACATGATCGGGCACATGCTGTGATAAATGAAATTGCTACAAAACACATTCGGGCACATGCATCTCTATAATCTCAAAATAAATCAAAGGTACTCCACTCCTCCATATGTCATCACCTTAACTATAAATAGGTGTAAGGGAATTAACAACATCAGACGTATATGGCATCCATTTGAACTAAAAAACATAACCACAAATAACATGAATTTGATATACAACATGATTGTAATATAAACTTTGAAAGGACTAGGAGAAAAATTAAACTTTCCTGTGTTGCATTATGTCGAGCTCGTTTCTATAAAAATTTGCATATCTGGTCAAGTTTCATAGTTAAA